GCGGTTTTTTTTTTTTTTTTTTTTTTTTTCTGCTTGGGGTGGCAAAAACCTTGGAGCCGGCTCTGCTTAGGACTTATACAGTGCTTTTCATCCTTAGATTTCAAAATGCTCCACAAAACTGAGCGCAAGTATCATTATCTCTATTTTACAGACAGGAAAACTATGCTCAAAAAGGTTAAATACCCTTGACGATGTTCATTTGGGGAAGGTTCTTGGGAAATACTAAATCAATTAGCTGTGTGAGAAAAAAACCTATCCTCTCCTTCCTAGTGACTGGGGGATAGCAGTCTGTGATCATACCAGACCTCGCCTGGCTAGGAGAAAGGTGTTTTTGAATGATTCTTGGTCCTAAGCCCCTCTTGTGCTCCCCCACCATGTAGTGCTTCTCACTGCCTCACCTCAAGACTTTAGCAGAAGCTCCTACCTTGTAAAAAGGAGCAGGATTCACCACAGAATGGCATTTCTCAAACACTGTGCCCTTCTTAGTAAGAATGGAGCAATGGGTCTCTGCAGACATTTCTAAATGAGAGAAACAGTCATAGATGTTAAGCAATAGAGAGGTCAAGAATAAGAGATAAGGAGGTGGCTGTGTCTGTCTTATTTAATTTATTGAGAAGGTGATACTAGTTTTCAGTCACAGAATAGGAAAGCCAGAGACTAAGATCTCAAAGGACTTCAGGAAATCAGTGGGAGTATCAAGAGGAACTCCTCCAACTTATCAAAGGTACTTCAAACCCATAGTCAGATCTTTAGAGAGAGATCTTGTCATAGATTGGCTTATACAAGTATATTCTAGAAATCTACATCTTCCTATAGATGAAGGAATCAGTAATGTACAGTCCTCTTCTTCTTATCTCTTAGACCCTCTGTTCCCTTGTGGATGAGCTTATGTTAATCATTCAGAAAGAGCAAGTCAATTGGGGTGATCTGATAGGTCAGGGCATTCGACTTACTGTTCAATTGACTCATAGAGCATGGGTCTGTATCCCTCTCTGCAGCAGGGTGGCAGTTCCCTGATCTCCAGGAGTCCACAAACAGGGATGCTGTTCCTTCAATAATATCCATGCTGGTCATGAAATCATCTGTAGTGTCTCCATTGTAATTGCCACACAACCCTGATGACATGGGGAACACAAGGGACGAATGAAAAACAAGGAACATTTATTCACTAATAATATGTCTTTGCTGTATAGTAATAATAAAATGTATCAGTAATTATAACTGGAGTGGTAATGACTACTATAGATTAAATGGGTTAAGCATTTCTGTTATAAAACTGTTTTTCAATCACTCATAACTTTGTCTGTTTCACTTAGTAAGTTAAAATTCACCAAGTCTGTTCACTTCCTTCAGGTGAATTTGTATGGAAAGTTTTTTAGAGAAAAATAATTCAGTTCTTTTAAAAAATAAAAAGAAAGGGAGAAAATATTCTCCCAATTCCAACCGAAAAAAGTTGTTGTGACTTTTTTTTTAATGCCTCTAACATCAAAACAATTAGGTATAGAAAGTTAGAATGTGGCATGGAATATAGCCCTCACTGAGCACTGGAATTGAGTGTTCCAGTAAAACTTGGTTTTGATTTGGCTGAGTTTTGAGAGCTTGAAGAAATTGCTCTTTCTGCACATGCAGTGATCTGGTGCTGCTTATAGCATTCTAAACAAAAAGTTGTGCAGAATATGTATTCTTGGCTAAATCCGCTGCACAGTAAATACGTGTATCCCCTAAGATGCCCATTGATCAAAAGAGCCATTGGGTTCTTGAATAATCAATGTAATCTTCTAAGATGCACCATGAATTAGGTTGGGCTATATAGGTGCCATGACTCATTTGATGTGTAGTAAAGTACATGTTGAACAAGGCAGGGTTTCACAAGCATTCTTGCCTTTTACAAAGCACACCTTGTAGAGGATAGGTTGGGAAATCAACGTTATTACAAAGGAGTGTGGATATCACACCTAGTCTGTGCCACTTCAAATTCTATTAATTGCTTTTGTTAAGGTTTTTGTAAAAAAGCTCTTATCAACACACAATAGCTTTCCATTGTAGCTTTTTAGAATCATAGGAAGAGTCTATCCATTATACAATGGCCATTAAAAGACACAATTTCACCGCCTCCCTCCTTCATAATGAAATGTGGAGGAGACTGTATTTCTTACCTAGGGTTCTGCCTTTGAAGAGAGGTCCAACTTTTATATAGACGTGAAACACTGGCCAAGTTTGAACTATTAGTTCCAGCCCAAAGGTGGTATACATTTGAATGTGGGTGGAGGACTGTCTGAAAACGGTGATGTCAGCTAAAATAAATTAGATGATTTAAAATAATTACTTTGATTTATCTATTTATTTTAAAATCAGATGAATGAAATGTCTAATCCAGTCTTGCACATTCCGCGTTCTCCCTTGTTCTGTACCTGATCTAAAAGGCAGCCACCTGAGTTCATCATATGTGTGAAGGTCATTTTGAGAAATCACAATTTTGTCCTGTGAAGAAGAGGGCACAGAGTCATTGAATCATAGAAATGTAGGGATGGAAGGGCTCTTGAGAGGTCATTTAGTCCATCCCTTCACACGGAGGTAGGATTAAATCTACTAGACATCCCTGATGGGTTTTTGTCCAACCCATTCTTAAAAATCTCCAGTAACAGGGATTTCACAACCTCCCTTGGTAAACTATTCCAGTACTTAACTATTCTTGTAGTTAAAGTTTCTCTTAATATCTAACCTTAATCTCCTTTACTGCAGATTAAGATGATTACTGCTTGTCCTACCCTCTGTGGACATGGAGAACAATAGATCAGAGTCCTCTTTGTAACAGCCCTTAACTTATTTTACAACTGTTATCAGGCTTCTTTTCTCAATTAATCTTCATCATTAAAAAATGTCTCAATCTGGACATTAATTGAGTCATTACTGCATAGCTGGGCTGAAGGCCAAGTGCCTCTTACTTCCTGAGACCTGCACGCAATCCAGTGTACCCACAGAGTGGGAGAGAGTTGGTATTTCTATTATCTTTATTTTAATCAACTATTACTGTCATCATGATATTTAGTGAGAAAAGTCTCATTAATTCTTTCCCTAGCAGACATCCTGCCACCCTGTTCTGATTTTTCACTTTGTAAAACTGGTCACTCTATGTTCAGCACCCCTAACTTGCTGAACTGATGTGACATTACACATCTCTCTGAAGTTATCTTTCCATTATGGAATACACTGCCATTTGAAGCAACTATTTTCCCCCTTTCCCCAGATTTTCATATGACGACACCTGCAATGCCTCTGAACATTAACTCTGATAGACTGGCTACTGGAATGTTGCATAGGACTTGTGTACTGCACTCTTACCTTTGTAGAAAGGTAAATTATAGCAGTTAATGATGTTTCAGAATGAGAGTAACCAGACTTATCATACACAGCCATCAGGGTTCCATTATACGGAAGGCTGGGACTCTGAAGGAAAACAAAAAAACATGGTTATGATGGGGAAAAAATAAACTATACCCCAAATCCATTTATCACTACAGAATCTTGTATTGTTCTTGCTGTTTTACCCTGAAATTGCACTTTTTGGTGGCGTTCGTATAAGATTCCTTGTAACCCTTCTCATTCTCACAAAATGTAAGTGAACTTGAAGCAATGGAGGAAGAAGGTATTCTGTGGTGCATTTCCAATACATCTTTAACATTTTATTTCTACAGAGTGACCCTTCTTGTATCACAGCACATTTCTCAAAGTAAACTAACACTGGGGACAGCCTGGTCTCTCCAACCTCTCTTAAAAAGAGAATATGGCGGGCTCCGTTTTCAAGTGCGGGTTCCTTTAATGCAGGATTTTGACGTGTTACTTAAATGCTAAAAAACTGACACTTAGGCATGAATATTTAAAATAGCTGCATTAAAAAGTCAACATTTTTCAACTGTTACTAGCTAGTGATATCTTAGATACTGCAATTTTATCCCATTCTATGTATAGGGAAATATTGTTGTGTCTCAGATACTAGGATTTCACTGTTAGCAAATGTTGACTTTTTAATGATGGCCATAGTAATGTATGGGGTGAAATGCAAAAAAAATTGGGTTTCCTGTGTACCCGTTCACAGCCAATACCTTCTTATCAGCATTTGCATCAAGGAAACCTATTTTGGCGATCCTTGGATTTGAGGTTTTTTAATTTTGCAGTTTGTGCCCTTTATTAGTTACTAAGAGAATTTACTGGTGATACAAATGCCAGAAACAACTTAAGCTGTTTGAATCCTTGGTGGCCAATGGCTGCTTATCTCTGCTCCTTTAACAAAAACAGTGTGGACCAATCAATCTCCCCTTCTCAGCAAGACTTCAACTAAACTACGAATAGTAATTTTTCCTCTAACAAGTGGCAGCCCTTTCTAGGGCAGATACTCAATGTCTGTTCCAGGGGAAATTTCATTTCAGGTTTCTGTTTGTTCCAAGGTGATGAATAAGCTGATGGCATCTTCTACCTGTCTGAAGCTAGGGCAGCCCTGTAAGTAAATACTTTTTACCTGTGGCAATTGCTGGTCAATCTTATGATGGATTCTGAATTACAAAGTTTCCATTTTGTAATTATGTTTACTTGCAAATCGGAGCCATTGAGTATAAACTGTTGAGATGTTATCAAATAACTACAATAAAGATTTCATTTTACATCTATGTAATCTTACCCTTTGGACCTGGAAGTGACGTTGGAAATAAATTAAACAAAGAACTTCTGTGTGATCTATCTGGGACAACTATTCCTGACAGCTTCAACCATCCTTATAATGATTATAGAGTGTTATAAAGTTAACGAATTATCCCAAAGCCAATTGTGCATAGTATCATTTCCTAATGCTAGGAGTTTTGGGGTTTCCTGACATTACATTATGCAACAATGCAAAACACTTGCCAGCTTTTTCAACACCAAATTGCTACTTGGCATCACATGTGATATGTGGGATAAATGGAGGTCATTGGAAGATTTTAGTTTATATGGGGGGGGCGGGAATAAAGGTAGATTGTACGTATGACACTTCCCTTCCGTTGATCTTGTGTAGTTTATGATCTCTGCAGCTTACCTTCATGAGGATGTATGTGCAGACTCCGTGGAACCTGTATGACCTGGAATCAAATGTGGTGACAAAGGAGCCTCCCTCCAGGGAACATCTTCCTGGGCAGGGTAGTTCATTGCAATTCCACTGGCCCATTGTACATTTACTGGGGAAAACAAGAATGTGCGTTAAATGACTATTACCAGTCTAGCAGGATTTGGTTCCACTATCTGGGGGGTTTGTTGTTTTTTTATTGCCTTACAACAGCATGTCTGTGGTCATATCTCTGTGTAGCAATATTTTGAAGTTGACAGCCTCAGGCTCTTCCACTGTGGAAATCTGAAGATGACTAAATTGATCATCTTGGATAGTGGTTGATGTATGTCACAATGAGTAGCCAACATGATATAGTACCTTACATGTTCTAAACTTTCATTTCCATTATCTCCTGAATTCTTTTTTTTTTTGGCTCTAAATGTTCAATAACTTCTTAGTAAGGAAATATATACATTAATATGTATATATTTCTTTTCCTCTGTGAATTTTTTGTGTTTTGCATTATCATTTGCTAAATATATTAGTAGACACTATTTATCTCAATCTGTAGCTGATGAGACCCTTGTGTGATGGGGTGTCCACCTCACACAAGACTGGAAGGGGTTACGGTGGCCAAGTAGGCCAATTAGCTCCACAGGTTGAACCTAGAGGAGGAGCCAGGGAGCAGGTAGTTGAATGAAAGGAACAGGCAGGGCCTATAAAGTCAGGTAATGGGCTACAGATAGGGCTGTTGGGAAAAGCAGTCAGCAGTCACTCCCTGGGAAGAGGGAGGAGGGTTGGTGGAGCTGGTATACTCAGGAAGAGGGGGAAACAGAGGGTAAGAAGAAGGCCAGGGAAGGAGCAGTGAAGCCAGAGGGAGGAAGCCGAGAACTGCTGAGCTGAGGGTCCCTGGACTGGAACCCGAAGAAGAGAATGGGCCCGGGTTCCGCTACCAGCCACCAAGGGTGTGGCACAGAACTGGGCTGCCATAGGGGAAGACTGCCTAGGATTGCTGATGGACTGTTCCCCAGAAGGGGAGGACCTTATTGACCTAGCTAGAGTGCCAAGCCACGAAGAGGAAGCTGCAGTTCCTGAGGTTGAGAGTGGGGCTCCAGAGTGAGACAATGGGAGAAGATACCACCAGAGGGCAAGTGTGAGCTGGCAGAGCTAATCTCCAGTATGGCCAGCAGGAAGCACCACTGTGGTCAGTGAATCCCGTGACACCTTGTATGGCTTGGGTCTCCATCAGCCATGTAAATCATAAATGAATCCATGATGAAAAGTGTTGCACTGGAGACCAAATTCCTTTCTTTATCCGCAGACCAGATGCAGCATGGAAAACAGTAGAGCAATATTCTCCACGTTGCAACACCAAATTATTAAAACACTAACCTTGGAGAACCATTTCTAGTGGTAAAAGGGGAGTTTAGTCCCCACAGCCCATTCAGTGCTTTAAAGCCTCCTGCTCAGATTGCCAGCAAAGTTGACCATTAGTAATAACTTTGGTGATAGTTATTGCACATTTGCACAGAATAAGGCCACGTTTGTTTTTGTATAAATAGATCAGAAAATTAGGCATACATTACTCTATCAGCAATTGCAGAGGTAGGGTCCTGAGTGTTCAAAACAGATTTGTGTACAGATGATGTAAACACATTTGTGTCTGTTCTTTGAAAGTCTGGGCCACAATTATGTCAATTTTTCCAGCCACTTGGCCAGGATGCTTTCCACACTTTTCAAAGAAATCTGACACCACTCACCAGCTCCTGCATGTTGCTTTCATGGTAACGCCAGGATCATATCTCTCCCCATTCAGTGTACACGGGCACTGGTCAATGGGAACACATGTTCGATTTTTTGAGATGTCATCAAGAACAGTACCTATCAAAAGAAGCAAATAAATTAGATAGATAGTCATTTTCAGACGCTTAGCTACCACTTAGCTCCTCAGCACTCAGAACTGTTATATTATGTGCCCAGTGTCTTGCAGAGGCAACATTTCAGAGAGTGGCATTTCAGCACAGCCTTTTGTGCAGACACAGAGGTGTTGTATATAGTGTGTTTTTCCATATCTGCTAAATATTAGCTCCCTTATTTAGAATAAGATTAAGTCTCTATAAAGAATAACAGATTTTGGCCACGTAATGGGAATAAATTAGCTTTACATTTTACTACTGAAATGTCAGGAAATGCCCAAGAATAATGGGAATAAACTGAATTTTTGTAGAACAGTTCAACCTGAAGTATGCCTTGGGCTTTTACAAACTCTGCATAACAAAGCACAATCTCTCTATTCACCAATGAAATGCAGCCACTTCTGGATGGCAACTGTCTAACAGCGCATGGCAACACCACATAAGAGATTAGCACAACAAGTTAATTATATCCAATCCAATTTAAACTATAGGGGGGAACTTTAAGTAGGCAGGGTATAATTATCCCATATTGGCCAGAATGGGGGTGTTACTTCTCTATTCTTGAAAAAAGTGTCAAGGGATCTTTAATGACCCCAAGGTGTCAGGACCTCAGTTTTATATCTCATCTGAGAAATGGCACTTCCAGCAGCACAGTGTCCAATACCATGATGTGGTGTATTAATTAAATGGACAATTTTTGTCTGCTGGATATGTGCCAAAACTATTTGCATGAATGATTTATGATGAAATCAATACTAGTTTTACGGTAATACTTTACCTTCTGGGCAGAAGCAACCATATGTACAGTAACTGGAACAGCTGTACTCTGGGTTGGAACAGGTTTTAACACATGGAGAACCACACTCCTTGTATATTTGGTCAGCTGAACATTTTCCTACAGCTGCAATACAACAACAATGAAAAGTATTAAGGCATCTTTCTAAATATGAACAAAGGAAAACTTCTCACCTGCCCTAGAGACTGGAGATGAGGCTCTCCCCACCCTCCTGGTATCTGGCACTCCCTGTAGCACAAGAACCTTCAGAAGTCCCCAGTCTATCACCTCACCATAGCCCAGACACCCACTCTATTCATTTTTCATTCTTTATCCCAGACGTACTGGAGACCACATATTCCAGACAAAGGCTAGAGATCAGATCACCTTTTCTACATGCACCCTACACTTATAGGCGTCAGACCCCTGAAACCATGCACACTTCTGAAAAAGGAGCCTGAGGTCCCTCTGTATCTGTGACCGGCTGGGAGAGTGAGAGCAGATTATACCAGTTACAATAAAAGCCATAGGTGTGGTTTTAAAAAGTGCCTATGTGACTTCAGGAACAATCTTATTGACTTTCAGTGGGATTTGTGCTCCTAAGTCACTTAGGTGCTTTTGAAAATCCTACCCTATAGCATTATTAATATACAGAACAGGGGACATGTAAGTTTTTCATATGACAACTAGTAGGATTCTCCCATCAGGAAGGGAAAGATAAGTAGGAGAAGGGAGAGTTAAGATTAGCATTGGAATTTCAAGCACCAGATCCTCCACTGCCTTGCACCTTATGTCGTGATTTTTCCTGCCAAAATCATTGCCAGGCTCATTAAGTAATATTTGGCACCCATTTTGCACAAGTATCAATGACTATGAATGGTGCAGAGCAGGGGATAATCAGACCCTTGATGTTTTCAGAGTTTCGGACACTTGTTTTTTGGAGTATAATATTTTTATTTCCTAACTGGCAAATATTTGTTTTTTAACCTTCACTCTGAATATCCTCACTTTCGCTTTTTTTTATAACTACAAATTCTAGTAACTTTTTTTTAAGTGAATGGCCTGCTTGCAACATTAATATTGTCGTAACAAAAGCTAGACTGGGGATATTATTTTTAGTATGATTAATGAGCATTATTATATAGCGTTGTAAACATGTACAGTGCCTTACAAATATTGATTGGGAAAGGCTTGCTGCCCTGAGGACTTTACAATCTAAAAGAGGCAAGACAAATTGAATGCTAAACAAAACTGGGACACCTATTTAGGGAAAGGAGATTGGGGGGAAAATATTGGAGGGATGAAGAAAAGAACAACTCCAGGAAGAAGTGGGATTTGGAGGAGTGGGAGTGGGAGGTGGCACTTGGCATGCAGGAAGCAGGAGATTTTCCCTGAGCACAGGGAGAAGCATGATGGAAGGCAGAAAGCCAAAAGTGTAACAAAGAGCTGGAGAGCAGTCATACATGAAAACTGGGAGTAGTACAGGGACTAAGCGAAGAGACGGATATGAGATCAGAGATGTAGGCAGGGCAAGAGGATACAAGGCCTTCAAGGTGAGAATAAGGAACGTGTGATAAAACATCAGAAGTCAATTATTGGATTCAGGAATATAATCCTGTCTGGATTATATTCATCTCCCTTCTCATGCTAAACTCCAAATAAATAGTAGCAGATGTTGAAATCACATGTAACAGAATAAGGAGGAAGGAGAAGATGTTCCTGTTAAAGCAATTTATTTTTAAAAATAAGTTATGTTTGGGTACTGAACACCACTTATAGAGTGTGAGGCAGCTCAACTTTCCCATTAACTAGGTGCTTGGAGTTTCAGAGGGATATGCTTCACTGCCTTAGTGACTGAGTGTCATTTGGCATCTTGATCTCTTCCCAAAATTCTGCCTAGAATTCTGTCTTCTGTCTTATCCATTAAGCTTTCAACTGGGCTGCATTGTGTTGTAATTAAAATTAATGAATATGCTTTTTGAGAGTCCTTTGCCAAAGGTTTGCCACATCATGCTTCCTGCTTTGTTAAACTTCAAAACAGGCATGATGAAATCAAACAATTTTGATCCATAAAGGGTTGTACTTTCAGTCTCTTGAGCTCCATTTAAAGTTACAAGGAAATCATACACATCAAAACAAAATTCACTTGATGCTGCCTAGCTTCACCTGATTTCACTTCATAACTAGTCATTTCATAGGATTTCAATGCAAACTAAAATATAATGCAAACATAAACTAGCCATTTGTGACTTTTGCTGAGCCTGATCTGATTTGTGTTTGTAATGAAACCTCTAACCTGGAGAATTGAATTGTTTTGAGTTTAAACGCGAACAATTAGCACAGGTGTAGCTGAACGTAGCATAGCACCTTTGCTAAGATGACCAATAATTTAAAACAATAGGACAAGCACTGAAATTAATTTGAATGGTTAGTTCCTGCATATTTCTTAATAGATGAAATATTACTTTGCCTGTAATGGCTTGTCAACACTGCAGTTTAGCTGACAGAAGAATCAAAAGCAAGCATTTCAGAATATGGTTTGTTTCTTTAAAAGAAATATTATTTTAAGGTGTTTGATAAAGAAACAGCTTTAGGAATGTGTGACCTGGTCAGCTGACTTAGCTGTTGAGCTACGGGGACACAATTTAAGTTATAAATTCATCTTTTTTTTTTTTTTGCGGGATACCAAACTCTGACTCTTGTAGGTTACCATTTGCTCAAAGATCATCCCAGGGTCTATAACCCAACCCAAGCCAACCCCTCCTTGATTTATATGGGTGGAAGCTTTCCTAGAGGCTTTTTAAAATTTCATGAATCATTCTTTATCTATATGACATATAAGTAAAGTTGTGGAGTAAAACATGATAACTTACAGCAGAAGTCTTCACTCCTCCAATCAGACACTGCTTGATTGGACATGGTACATTGCCTAGAGTACTCTGACAGTGTAGCACAAGTACAGTTTCTTTGCCCTGGATCACTACAGTCCTGCATATCAAGCTGACAACGGATGACAAACGCTTTCTTGGACACGTTGCAAGCTGGAGACACAAGGTTGAGTAACTGGGAGCAGATCCTGGCCTAAATAAATAATAAAAAATAATTGGAAAGTGGATGCTAGTCATGTCCTTGCTATATTCAAATGTCAATGAAACAAGCAGAACTTGATCATTAAATTACTAGAGGAATTGTTTGCAGCTCTCAGTTATACTATTGTGTTTATTTGGATCAAAGTGCATAGGAAATTCTGGAAATGGAAGAGAATACAAATGATACATTTTAAAGGGGAAAGGCTCTGTAAATATTTAATCTATTTTCCCTCTCATCATACTAAAAGCTAATCATTCTTTTACTGTCATCACATTTCCATGACCATGGATTACAGCGTTACATGCAGGGATTATGTTCTCTCATGAAGAATTAGCAAAAGGAAGAATGTATTTTGGAACAGGCTGTTTTTTATAGCCAAATCTAATGGAATTCTTGGATTGTCAAATGAATGGTAGAAAAATATCCTTAAAATAGTAGGGATGGGGGGAAAGTGTAATGCTGCCCATTTCAAGAGAAAAATCGCTGTCCTTTCAGCACACTCTATTTACATAGTGTCTACATACAGTAAAAAAATAATCACTTTATAACAGCTGCAATATAAATGCATATTCTGACACACAGTTACAATTAGTCCAAAATGAACAAGCATATCTTGTAATCTGCACCACCATTTCAAAGATAAAAATAAGTATTTGCTTTTTAGGTACGTGATATTAACTAGACTCCAGAAAATCTTCTAGATAAGAAAATCTGTGATGCAATGAGATAGCGGAAACTCCATTAGTGAGAAGAATGGGTTTATTCCACATGAAACTGCTGTGGGTTCTGCAGATCCCTTGACATCCATGCTGGTCTTATACCTCTCAACTGTCTCCTGCCTCCCCCACCTCCACCCTCATCATCCACAGTACAATGGATTCTGTGCTTCCATGGTTACAGGTGCTCATCCATTACCCCTCTAGTGTAATTTCACTTGATGGTAACAGACACCATGTGAGACGCTGCTGCCTGGTAAAATGATCATTGCACACTGAATGTCTTTGAGTTTACACAGTACTTAGTGGGGAGTCATACTGGCCTAATACAAAGATCAGTGAAACCACACTGACCTCAGCGGGATTTGTATAAGGAGTCTGTAGTCTGAGAAAGCTGGGTGCTAAGCTTTTGTGTTTCCATTTGTGAGCTGTATAAATCCACACCTGGTAGTATTTCTGGACTGTTTAAAACACGTGTAACGCTGACAGACCCCAGTTTTCAGTGGGCAGGATTGAACCTAGGACCTGTGGAGCTAAATGCATGAGCCTCAAGCCATATGGCCATTAGCTAAGGCAGTAGAGCAAACTCTCTAAGTGGTCTCAGTGCCACTAGAGGGGACAGAACACCACACCCAGGAGATGTGTGGGTTACATACTTCCCCTCACTGAGGAAGCACATCCCGTGCTTCAGAGACTTCCCAGTTGAAATCCTGGACAAGCCCCCACTTGTAACACTGACAGGCTCCGATCATCGGCGGGCAGAATCGAACCTGGGACCTTTGGAGCTTAGTGCATGAGCCTCTACCACATGAGCTAAAAGCCAACTGGCCATTAGTTAAGGCTGTAGAGCAAACTCCATTAATCTCTCTCTCTAAGTGGTCTCGGTTCTACTAGATGGGACAGAACACCACATCCATGAGGTGGGTGGGTCACACATGCATTCTGGTGCAAAGAACCTCTTTTCTTCAACTCCATACACTGAATCTGTTGGTGATGTTAATCACTATCCTGTCAACCACCATCTCTGAGTTCATGATTCCCAATTCATCTACTTCTCTGTTCAAGTTTATGCTGTAGGCAAGGCCAGAAAAGTGATACTTACATATTTTTTGCGAGGAATATTGGGAATTGCCATCTCCTCAGATGGGCAGATCTCTGATGGGTCATCCATTTTTTGTAAAGTGGCAAATTGGTATGCATCCAGCAATCTACCTGCAAGTTGAGGTACAGAGTAGAAAAATGGTCTATCTAGACTAGTTTGATGAGCTGATGGTAGTGTCCTGCACTGCCATGCAGAACACATTCGATTCTCTCACCCAACAATGTGTTAGTGAGCAACTGTGTAGTTAAGTATGTTGCTAAAAATAATGGAACATAATTTATAATAAATCCATACCAGCAGATCTACATTGAAAGGAAGTGTGTGGGCACTTAATGGAAGACATGATTGCTGGTATGCACTGAGTTTGGGGAAAAATTCGATTTCCACGATTAGTTGTGTTTGAGGCTGTTGCTTGCACTCCCTAAAAGCAGATATCAGCCTGGAGCATCCAGATGAGAATAGCAGTGTATGTGCCAGCTCCTGCACTTATGCTGCCTGAAAGGCATTGGATGATATAAACTGTCACTTATCAAATGGCTTTAGTAAAGTTCCTATGTTACCTGCTAATAAGTAGCTATATGACTCACAAATCTACTTCTCTACCTGTCTTCCTCTGTTCAAATCCAAATCTCAGTGTATCTTTTGGATGACTCCTTATGGATGTCCAGCTATCAAGTTTAAATTCAACCCCAAACTGAACATGCAATGTCCCTCTAAGTGCTCCTCTCTCCTCCCTTTCTCTGTCAATGTGGACAATAAAACCATTCTCCCATCACTCCTGTCTGAAATCTGGGTATCATCTTTGACTCAGTCCACTCTCTAGACCTAAGATGTGCCTAAATCTTGAAGATTCTTCCTACCTTATATATCTAAGATCTGGCCTTTCCTCTCTTTCTCCACTTCACCAAAACACTCATCTTGACTACTTGCAACCTACTTCTCCCCTGGCATTGATGACTACAACTATGCCTCTCTGCCCATATGGAAGTCCAATCAAAAGGCTGCGGCTAGAATCCTCTATGTGGCTCACTACTCTGAGAATGTCATCCCTCTTTTTGACTCCCTCCACGGGCTTCATTTTTTCCACTACGTTAAACAAGATTTTTTAAAATCTTTTAAGGCCCTTCACATGTTAGCCCTATCTTACCTATCAGATCTATTATCTTACTAAATGCCTACTGCTGCCTTTGCTCTGCCAACAATACCTCTTTTTACTGCCTGTTAGGGTGAAGGTGTTTGTGGGAGAAGTAAACTTTCTTCTGTGATGGCCTCTACAAGTGGGGTAAAATTAATCAAACTCTTTAAACCTATCGTATTGCCCTTCAGTTCCCTCCTTAAAACTCACCTCTATGATGTGTACAGTAAACTGCATCTGACAAAGACTAGCCAAGTATTGAGCTAAGACTACAGAATGTTGTGCAAAAAACATGTTTGTTTTACTGTTACCTCATTCTCCCCACTTTGGCTGTTTCAGCCATATGTCATGTCTTGTCATAGACCTAGATTGTGTAAATTCCCTGAGGCAGAGTGATTGCTCTTTACCACATTTGTACAGTGCCTAGCACAAAGTGGTTTGATAACTGATTTGAGGGCCCTTAGAGGTTACTGTAATACAAAGAGAAATTGGCCCTGTTCTGGAGAGCCAGGGTGTGATGGTTGATAGGCCTGCTGGTGAATTATGTGGGGGTCTTATTTACTTCAGAAACAGTATGGATAATCTGAGCACAGGAATCTTCTAGCTGTTAAATTTGCTTATTGATCTGGTGTGGTTAGCCCCTTGTGTCTGGTTTGGCCTTAGCTCTTACCTTCACTCAGAAACTCATTTAGTTCCTGTCCATCAAAATTCCCGCACATTCCACAAGTTTTCCTCATATATTTTCTCTCAACCATAACCTAAAATTAAAAACAAACAAAAGGAAATATCATAATTAAGAAATGTCTGTGGGCCAAGATATTTTCTCAACTAACCTTTGTTGGGATACCCAGGTAAAGTCACCCCTTTCAGTTAATTTCTGTGATTTGAGGGAAGAGAATTGAAAGTGATATGCTCCTTTTCCCAGTCAGGTATTCTTTTCCTCTACTCAGTAAGTGGTTATAAGAAATGTGGATCTGGCATTCACATCTATGCCAGAGCAAACCCAGGTATTGAATATTTTTTTAAAAGAACATGTTGACCAGATTTCTTGGGTTTATCAATATATTTTATATATCTGTTTGGTATCTTTTAATGAGGTGGTAGATTTGGTACTCTTTAAAGTGAGCGCCTATTATGGTAGCTGTAAGAAGGTAAGATGTATGAAGGCCATGTGCTAGTTTCCACCATACAGCACTATCAATACATCTCAATCCTGACCTGCAAGCACTTATTGCTGTTCCACTGTTGAGTTTGTCCTGAACAAGCATTGCAAATTGTGTGGAGGTGGACATGGGCTAGGTGGATATTTCTGCTGCAATGATGCCTTAGGGCTTCAGAGCATCAATTGCTCTTCTTTCTTCCATAGCCGGTGTAGAGAGAGTAAGAGGAAATGGGCATCAGCTCAACAGATCTGCTCAGACAGGGGTCTGAAGACTTTGTAAGTTTTTGTCCTTGTCCATTACATTTGTTTTACATTTCTCCCTGCTTTCTCTAAACTCCACCTCCATGATATTCACAGCCCTGGACACTGGAGAAACAGGAGTTGTTCTTAAAAATGGAGCATTTAATTCTTCTTTTATTTGTTTCAGTTTTACTCCTGTGTCACTCTGTTTACTCCCCTGACTTCAATGAAGTTGCTGCTGATTTACACCAGTGTACATGAGAAGAGAATTGGGCCTGAATTTCCTACAAAGAAGTGTACAAGATGGTGCTCTAGGCTAGACCCATGCTCATCATGTACCGTACTACATTTCTTTAAAGACAAGTAGATACTTGATCATACTCTCAGAAGTAATATGGTCTTCAACCTAGTCCCAAGGGATTTATTTCTATATCTAGATACCCAACATGACTCCCTCTACCTCTCTGGAATATCAGTGAAGCACATAAAAGTAATGACAATATCTGTTACTAACCTGCTTTATAGCCAGTGAGAAGAAAACTGGGTTTTATGTATTTTTATGTGCACTAACTGTCCCCTTATGTATACATCCATTAATAAGGTGAGTAAATGCCTATACTGCCCTCACCTTGGAGGGCTATGAGCCATTATGCCATACATTTAAGGACTTTAAACGGGCACATTCACAATCTTAGTCCAAATAAAAACAATGAATGCATGTCAAGACACCCACTTAGGGATAGTAAGTCTTTAGTATTCCAGCAAAAGTTTCTCCTTTGCTTTGTGACAAGATTTTACTCACCATGAGATAGTCGTCGTTGTTCCAGACGACTTCCAGCTCCATCTCCATCAGCTTGGTCACCAGGCGGACAGTGCGTCCAAAAGGAGCAATTTGGATTCCATTGCTGGTGTACGGCAACTTGATGATACTGTTATGAGGAAGAGGGAAAAAAATGGATCCTATTATGTAACAGTGTATGCGCTAGTATCAGCTACAACTGGACAGTCATTGTTTGTAATGGAGATACTGCATAGCTATCTGTGTACCACATGGTATTTGGTGGCAAATTAAGAAAGAAATTTGTTCCCTCATAGCTGGGACATTTCAGGATATTTGAAAACTGCTACTGAATGCAAGACAATCAGCTGCTTAAAAAAAGGACCAACGATATACAGCTAAAGCCCGATTATAATATTAAAAATCAGTATGGGATATGAACATTGGGATGGGGGGAATAATGCTATATATTAACAGTAGAGCTCAGCTTGGTTTGGTTTTTATAAGGCAATTGCTAATCTCTTCATAGGTACCTCCAGACACATATTGTCTGAGTACTAGTAGCTGTCAGTCATTACCCTGAAAAGGTCATGAGAGTCCCAGTCTATGTTAATATAGGAATTCCTCAGTGCTGAGGCTTGGCACTGTGAGGAGGAGTTGCATAATGGGAGCTGTGTAGCAAGAACGGGACTTGGGACTAGTGGCTGAATTCTAATGCTACAGACCAGTGGAAAAAAAGAACCAATATAAATATGTATTGAATATATTTAATCATTGCTAGTCTGGGGACACCAAGTTTAAAATGCAAGCTCTGGGGCTAGTTCCATTCATTTACACAGTTGTCCTTGCAAATCAATCGGTAAGCCAAGTATTTTTCAATGCAGTTTGCCAAATTGAGATACAGTTACAAGAGCAGCTGGGTAAATTAATTTTTTTGGTTCACTGGCAGTTCCAAAGAATTGGAAAAGAAATTGGTTTGAGTCTAACTGAATTTGAAAACTTCAAAAAGAATTTGGCAAAGCAAAGAAGTCTACTTCAGGTCTTATGCAACATTTTGTCTGACCAGAAACATTTTGTTCCTGGGTGTTTTTAAAGGGGCTAGATTCACATAACATATGACGATACTGGTACCACTTCTCTTATCAGCTTTAGCCCGGTGGTTAGAGGCACTCACGTGGGTTCAATTCTCCCCTTTACCTGGTGGTGAGAAGGGATCCCCTGTTGCATGAGAGTGCTCTAGCCATTGGGCTATGGGATATTCTCATGTGGGTCTCTCTGGTTGAAGCTGATCCAATGTCAATAAATAATTTGTTATTGGGCCAGAGAGACAGAGAGAGACTCGATAGTGAGGTGGTTAGGATGCCTGCCTGAGAGGTGGGAGACTCAAGTCCCGGAACCAATGGCTATTGATTTATACAAAGTGAATTAACTGTTAGTTGAAAAAAATGTGTCCAGCTGTAGGTACAAGTCTTGTTTTTCTGCTGACGATAGTTGTAAATACATGGGTGAATATAATATACAAACTTTATACAGCCATCCATATCCTTCCTCTGCATTCATCCATAGGCAAAAACTCAGAGTTGCCCAACTCATGAACATTGCTGAAATTTCATTTTGGGAATTTCAGCTTCTGGATGGCAATGAACACATTTTCCAAATCTCCCTAGCAAACCGTTTCCCATGAATCTGCTGCCTTCTGGAGGGGATAGTTCCAGCAGTAATGAGACCAGAAAGCAGCCATGGAGTTCCCAGCAAGTCTCCAGATGTTCCCCTATTTTCTGTTCCCCTACAGAAGTGCAACACTCATAAGTTTGGGTTCACGGTCATTGAAATTCAAATTACCTCAAACCAAAACACACCTAAACCTCTAAATTTCACCTAGTTTCATGAGCTGGCCCAGGTGAATTTGAAACTAGAACTAGGCTCACTTAAGAGGATTGCTAAGCTTTAAGTCAATGTAGTTTTAATTTGGGAATTATTGCGAGATGAGAAATTTCACCTGCTTTTTTGGCTTCACACTGTACAGGTGTAGTCTATGCTTGGTTTACATTTATTTGGCAGCCTGCTCAACTCTGGCTTTGGTAGGAGGAGATAAAGTCAGTCTCTAGCTAGGTCATTTGTGTCTGATTTCTAATTTATTAATCCATTTTGGGCACGAAATGGATAAGTGAAATGGACAGACTGAGCTTCCCTGCAGTACAATCACAGACTTATCTAGTGTATCTCACATAGCACTTTGCCTTCTTTACCCACTGCTATTCAATATATCCCTGAAGCTTACCCAACATTCTTGAGTGCAATGATGTTCTTTTCAACTGTGACGACGACAGGTCCCAACTCCATGATGATTCTTGTAATTTTTTTGTTCACCCCGCGGCGGAACTGGATGTTGAAGTCCGGGCTAACATCATTGCATACGGTGGTGAAGATGTAGTTGCAGGACCCAGAGAAGTCATACAAATAATTATCAAAGGTGGAGAAATGCCCTGCACCCCAGGTAGAACATGAGCCCTTGTCTAAGAAATGAAAGAGAAAATGTATTTAGGTTATCTTGTGCCATGTTTGATGAGACTGACATGCATTCCAGACACTACCAGTTGTGTTCTAATAGCAGGAAAAGCTGATGAGCTTAGAATTTACATAAACTCTCAGAGAAACTGAATTTATATTCAGTTTAGGATCTATTCTTTTTCCAGAGTATCTATATGCCTTTAATTCTTCTCCTTTATTTTTTGTCCGTGAATGACATTTGCATTAGAGCATCTGATTTTTTTCTCTCCTTAAATTTTAAGTCAATACAGTGCTGGTGAAAGATGCTCCGAAACACATTTGGGCTGTCTATTTATACACAGGGCAAATACAGCATGGACAACACTACTGCAATCTTCCTTCTCACTGCCCCAGAAAATGTGTCTTAATCCCAGGGGTTAAAGAAAGGAAGGTTGGGGTGTTGTGCAGTTCTCTTTCTCTTTCCTTTGCTATAAGTAGAGGGGAGCTTTCCATCTCTCCATAACTTGGGAAAGCATTGCTCCCTCACAGTCCCCTCTCCTCCTTGGCTGGCATCTCCTACTTTAGTTACCGCTCAACTCTAATTCTGAGGGACTATAGCTAAATACTGGAGAGGGTAGCTCAGGGTTCATGTCCACATGCCCATTCAGTCTCTGGAATTTGTTGAGATGGCAATCAGGGGACCCGATTAGTGACAGTGAGGTGTAGAGTTAGATGACATTTTTTGGTACACATTTTTGGGGGTGAAAAATGCAGATTTGGCAACACAGGAGTATTTCACAAATTCATGTTGTTTTGGAAAAATTGTTTTGGCTGGAAAAAACGTGAAAACATCAAACCATTTCATTACATTTTCAAAACAAAACATTTAAATCTTTTAAATTGATTTTTGTTTCAAAAGTTCCTTCAATTTTATTTTAAAAACTGAACATTGAAAAATGATCAAAATCTAAATGTTTCATGAAACATGTTAAATGAAACATTAAGATCTTGTTTGGTATCAAATGACTTTTTTCTCAACTTTTTGATTTGCTGAAAATTTAAAAAAAAATTATTTTTGGTTTGACCTGAAACAAAACTTTTTCTGATATTTTTGGAATTGCCAGTGAACTGAAAAATCTGTTATTTGCACAGCTTTAGTTGTGTGTAATGTAATCACTTGTTCTTTATAGAACCAGCCCAAATCTTAAAGGCATGAGATATTTTGAGGTAAAAATTGGAGGTGTAGATGCAATTGGTATATCACATAATAATAATGAGCTGGCAAAGACATGCTTAGCCTTCAGCCAGACATGCCATGTGGGAGTGGGGGGTGCATGGGTAAATAATATAGTGAACTGAACTGTGCCGCGGTTTTCCTGAAACCGCTATGTTTTAATCAAAATAGTTATTGATTCATTAAATACAATATTCCAATAACCATTTTGATAATGGTCTTGATAAACTTTTGAGTAACCATTTCAGTTAAAAAAATGGAGAAAAATTGCACAGAATAATGGGTTCATTTTGAAACAGGGTGTATAAAAATTATGATTAAAACAAATATACAGAAAAGTTTTATTTAAATTGGTTTTTAAAGGATTTACATGTTTCTAGTGTTTTACTTTTGTCCCATTTTAATGTTTTAAATTGCTAAAGAGGATGTTTAGTAGTTGGTTCTTTTGTTTCCTAATTGTTAAAATTTTGTATTTTACCAAGAATGTTCACATTTTAAATATTCATGTATGATGTAAAGACTATATCAGGGCCTCATAAATATCCTGACATTGAGATCAGGCTATCAGTGTTTGTGGTTTGAAGTAAATGGGACTTGTGCTCCTAAATCACTTAAATGCCTTCCTAAATACCACTCTTAGTTGCCTCAATACAGGTTTATGAGCCTAACTTGCGTTCTGTATTTTTGAAAATGTTGGCTTGTGTGAATAAAAAAGTTTACAATAACAAAGTATTGAAAGTCTAAATAATTTTTCACGGTTACTGTGATAAAATTTCATTTTGAAGTGGCAAAGATTGTATGCCACTAAAAGAATTTTTTAATTAAAAAATATACTTTTAGCTCCTGATGCTGCTAACATTTAGAGGTACATACTTAAGCACATGAGTAGTCCCACTGAAGTCAATGATTCATGTGAGTTAACCTGCTAAAGTGTTAATAGGATCAGGACCTAAATTTTCAATAGTTTGGGGTTTTTTTTGCTTGTAGCTGTTTTGTAAAATTCAAGTAAGAGACCTTATCAGTAGTGGTATTTTTTTTTAAAAAAAGCATTTATTATAAATTTTAATCTAAAGTTGCAATAAAACAAATTTTAAAATTAGTTTTACAAAGCCTAAACCTCATTTAAATAGATTATTTTTGAAAATATTATTTAAATCACCCCACCCAATTTCAAACTTGCAAAATGGAAACAACTTCAAAACATTGGCATTTTCCATGACATTTTTCACTTTATTTTTCAATCTGCTCTAAAGGATACAATGGTCACCCTAACTCCTTCTCAAGGATGGTCCTTACAAAATACTTCACCACTTTTATCCAGCAAGTGTAAAAGAAACTGTTACCTGAACGCAGCATAGCATCATCTTCTGCACTTCTGGACTCTTCACTGTCATCATCTGGAAAATAGGAGTTGGTTAAATATTACCACTGATCCTTCCAGCCAAACCTTGCATATTTTAACATTAATACAATACTCCTCTTTGCACTTGCTAGTGAGCCTAGCTTGTTTGGATCTTGCCTATTTTCCATTCACCGAATAGGTATTAATGGGACATATGGAGATAGTGCCATAAATGGTATTTTCTATAAACACAGGAATGCTGTGATAACTAGGAGTAAGGTGTTTCAGTTGAAATTCCAATGTAGATAAATAATAAACAGGAATGCCAAGGCACATAATCCGTGTACTGAGTGCAATTTTTGCTGAATGACTTTAGCTGACTTTGTTTTATTTTGTGTATAAGCAAGAGCAAGGTTTTGATAATTATTATAAGCAAATCATGAGCAGAGATGGGGATGCAGAGGAGAATTTTTCTCCTTGATCTCTGCTGCACAGGGAATTTTGCTCCCTTCAGGGTTCTCTTCCTATAGCTTTTACCCACTTATGACTCAAAAAGAACAGGAGTACTTGTTGTCTACAAGCCATCAGGAACAGTATCCCCAGATGGACTACAAGCCATCAGGAACAGTATCTCCAACCACAAGTACTCCTGTTCTTTTTGCGGATACAGACTAACACGGCTGCTACTCTGAAACCACTTATGACTGATGAAATACTCACTTAATTCAAGCCAGTCATTGCCTCTGCTGCCTGAAGGAAAGTAAATACTTACAGTTAAGAATCATCTTAGTATAACAAAGCTAACATTTATATAGTGCCTCTCATCCTAAAACTCTCTACAAACTAGATTCAGGAATCTCATCATCCGTCAGTGAAATGCAGACAATTATGGGGTGAATGCAACAGCTTGTTAACTACACATAGTTTAAGATAGAAAGTGAAGAAAATAAAATACTGTATTTTTTCCACAAAGAATTTTAAATAGGCAGAATATGTGAGATAATTTATTCAGAATACTAGAACTGACATGCTAAGCCATATTTATTTAATTTTTGTAAAGGTAGCGAAGGCTTTTTTTTTTTTAACTATAAGTGCTTAAGAGTACGGATGGATAAAATTTTCACACAACTTTTTTCAGAAAAATGTAGTCAGCAGCATCAAAATGTTTTGTGAATTCATGTCAGTTTTAGTTAATTATTTGTCAAAAAAAATTCTGAAAAAAATTCAAAAAAGTCTAAACATTTTGTTTTGACATTTTTGAAGAAAACCTTTTTGATTTTTTAGTTCAAAATGACTTTGTACAAAATTTCCTATAATTTTATTTAAACAAACCAGTGAAAACATTTAAAAATGCTTGAAATCAAAACAAAACATTTCAACCCAAAATTACTTTTTAAAACGTTTTGAGTCACCAAATATTTTTTAAAATTTCATGTTTAGTTCGACCTGAAACAATTTTTTTAAATTGTCAGCAAACTGACAAATCCATTATTTGTGCAGCGTTTTAAGGCGAGTTAAAACAGTTACATATTAAATAAGAACCATAAGTCCACAAGAAGGGCTTGTGATTTGATTTAAATCCATCACATTATTCACTTTTTCCAACTCTGTAGTAAAACACGATACCAGAAAATGTAGTATTATGGGTGACACCCAAATTGTGGTATTCCTAATAGTGCTTCAGGAAGCTGCCTTATGGCCATGGCAATTTACCAAGCCCAACAGTCACTTTATGAGTGTGTAGCTGTGGTAACCATGGCAGAGCTGAGACCCCTGGCCAGGTCTGCAAGGAGGAGGACAAATATTGGTATTTGTGAGATTTTGTGATATATGTGCTTCACCTGCCACAAAAGTCACCGGCTGCCACTGCAATCAAGTCCAGTTTGAGGCATCACTGCTTAACCACAAGAACCCCATTCAGTTGCCACCTAATACTGTAGGTACCTAAACTCACTCTGTGCCTACATTTTTACTGTAAAAGCTCCCTAAGCACTTAGCATGTGCACTGCTGCCTCACTCTGTGTATGTATACATAAGGACAAAAAACCCATGGCAGGCCTGAGTCATTTGACTTGGGCTCATGGGGCCCAGGCTCTGGTGCTGAAAAATTGCTCTGTAGACATTTGGGCTCGGGTTGGAGGCCGAACTCTGGGACCCTGCGAGTCATTATTTCTTTGTAGGCAAACCCTGCAGTCCGAATGCATAAAGTGTTTTACATAAGCTCCTCGATGCAGGGACTTTCTTACTATGTGTTTTGTTCAGTTCCTCATCTTAAATGTGTAATAACAGGCAAAGTATTTACCTCTTTTCAGAAGCTCCTTCTGCCTGTAGGGAAATTGATGGGATATATAACTCCCTTCAAGCCCTGTGAAAGCAAAAGGTATAGATAAGTCATCATCACAAGACAAAACAGAAATGCAGCATCAGTTTTTAAAAGCTCCTTCCTGTCCTTTGATTTACTGTGCTCATCACTGTCGTAGGGATAACAATTACTGTGCTTGTGTCAATGCATGCACAGCTTGTAATGACCTGCTTCTCTTCAACTGGTAGGAACGTACTTTAAATGGCGAGAGCAAAGAGCATCCCACAGAAACCACATATTACTCTGTTGTGCCTTCTGCATGTTACGCCCATACATAGTACGAAGAAACAACCCAAAAGTTTGCTAATCATATATAACATACAAGGCCTAGCTATATGTATACATGGCTGTCCTGCAGAGTTCTGGTGGCTTCTGAAACACAAAAGACACTGATGGCCACTAGAGGGCTCATTAACTGTTTAAACAGATATTACCCAATTCCTATACACTGCACCCTCAGTGCTTGATTGAGTGTGATGAAACAGTTGGTACTGTGAGTAGTGAGCTGAGAGGATAGCTGAGGTGCTCTCTCCTGTTTGTATGTGGCCTGATGTTGAGACCTATCGGTGTTTAAAATAGCTTTGACTCTCAGGCTTCAGCCTTTGTCTCCCTTAAGCAGAATTTGATTTAAATAGATAGCCAGCTAGTGAAAAGAGGTATTCCCACTAGTGCTTATTGGAGAGAAGGGCTTGAATACTTGTGTTTCGTGGAAGAGCAAAGATGGTAGTAAGGACAGATGACAGTGAAAAATTCTTTGCTATGGCACCTTTTATGAGCAGGAACAAGTTAAATATTGAATGACGCAACTTTCTGCATAGTCTCATGGCCACATATGATATAGTGTTTTCTGGCATTTTTAGAGAAGCTAGGTGTGCGGAAGGGATCCCAATACTTCAGTCAAATTAAGCCCAGTTGAATCTTATATTTGTTGCACATAGAGGAGTTACTGCAACATCTGCAGCAGCCAGGTTTGGTAGTTCCCCAGGTGTTGTTTGTGATGTTGAGACAGGAGAGGAAAGAAAGAAAGCTAACAAGATGATTCTTTTCTTACATTTTGTAAAGCCATAGAAAATCCGGAGAGAACCATGGCAGCCAAACTGGATTACAAGTAAATGTATTTTAAATGCACAAACTCCTCATTTGAAGAGATATGAGGCAAGATAATCTTCTGGTTAAGGCGATGAGCTGCAACTAAGGATATCATGGTTCAATTCCTGTGGCTGTGGCAAATTACCTAATCTCCCTGCCTCAGTTTCCCACTGGGATAGTACTTATCACCCATGCTGTTGTGAGGATAAATTCAGTTATGTTTGTGAGAGCTAAGATACTGCAGTGATGAGAGCTATCTATGGGAAGTGCCCTAAACAGATGGGAAATTACTGAAGTGGTGGAAATCTATCTACCAACAGTGCTTTCTTCACAACCTATGACAACATCAGAGGTGTGCTGTCTTACAGAGGAAACAAGTAACTACAGAGTTCAAAGTAAATGAAATTTCATAACCTTAGGGCTTGTGTGTATGAACACATAGTTTGCAGCAACCTGCAGTGTAAATCTACCCTACAATAGCTTGCTGTGCACTAAGTGTCTGCGAGGACCTTGCTGTCATGCACTAAATGTTCCTTAGTGCACTTTAATCTACTCCTTGTTCTAAGTGGGGTAGATCAAAGTACACAAAGGAACTTTTAGTGCATGGCAGCAGGGTTCACGAGGATGCTTAGTGTGTGAGAAGGTTAGCGTGGGGTAGATTTATACTAGCTTGCTGCTAACTAAGTATTCATATAGTCAAACCCTTAGAATCAGTAACGATAATAATGTGACACTTTTTTGTTGTCTTCAAGTGATGAGAGAAAAACTTTGTGGAACTACTTCAGCAGTCACTCAACCACCAGCTGCCAGTCACCTCACCAGGCAATCAGCACTTTTATTTCCACAATGGTCTGAGACAGCTAATATCAGAGCATGACAGACTATACCTGTATACCCTCAGATCCTGGGCTTGGCCAAGGCTGGTCTCAGCATCTGGCATAATTTAGAACAGAGTAGACCACTGGTTGCTCTTAATTTTGCCAGCTTGAAATAATCCCTATGAGTTGTTATGCATGACAGGTATTTACAGAGGACAACGTGCTCCAGTTATGCCCTCTTCTGCCCCTGGTATGTTCTCAATGCATCCCTTACAATGAGGAGCAAAAAGAGAGGAACACATAATTAGGTAAGATGGCTGTATGGCAAGTGAGGTTTCATTGTTCAGATCCAGTGTGGTGGCTGAACTTTCCAAGTCTTTTGTATGGAGTCATCTGTTTGTTCATGAATCCACCGAAGGTGGATAAAAAGTTCCACAGTTGCTACACCTAAATCCCAGGCTTTGAAACCTGAGTCACTCCTACCCCTATTCACAGACGTCGATGCCTTTTGTAGATATTTGATGAGCAGGTCTTGAGAGAGAGAGAGCCTTAAAGCATCACTTGAAAGGCAGACTCATCTAGTGAGCCTGATGTAAAACATGAGGTCTACGCTTCTGATCCCCAAAAGTGCTAATCTTTTAGCTCAGAATAGATAGTGTGCTGATTTCTAATGCTGTCACAGTTCAAGCATGCCAAACAGTTTCAAAATGCTAAGTCTATGCTACTCTTACTTTGTTTCAGGGAGTGGAATAACTAAATGGAATAAATAGTATTGAGTAAAGGGAC